CTTCGGCTGCCAGCGGCTGCTATGGGCTTGGCGGCTGCTACGGGCTGCCAGCCGCGGCTACCGGCGCAGTATGAAGGCACCCTTAGGCCTTTTGACGAACTATATCCGATGGAACTCGGATAATTTCTCATATTTTAGCGCTCATAATCCCTTCCATGTAGTCGTTCGGCAGACTAGATAGTAAACGTATATTTGAAGTCAGCGTTTCAAGTAAACGTATATTTTAAAATCAGCGTTTCACGGCGAATCCGGTGATATACAGCTTGTTTGTAAAGGCTGGATAAGTACTGGCTATTCCCTTCTCCGAACTCACTTCAGAGTAAAGGTTCGCAGCTACGTACAGCATATTCGATTTTCAGCGTCCTGCTGATTCCGAAGGTAAGCGTAATTTTTCAAAACGTCAAACCGCAGAATCCCTTGGAGAAGGAGTAAAACCAAAAGAATTCATGGAAGCATAAATCTTAACTCCCTCAAAGGCAGGACAGGGTGCGATGGATGCAGACCATCTCTGCGCCGCACCCGATCAACTCTTGAAAACCCGTAGCTTTTTACGATCACATCCTGAAAGTGAAATGACACATATTTGTTCAAGATGGGATATTCAAATATTGAATCCTAACGTCCTACAATGGATATGCAATCACTTACTTGGTCTGAGAACGTAAGAGCTATATCGAGCGGAAGATTGCGGAAGTTTCTCACGGGCTCGGCCTCGATTTTTTTCCCCCAATTTTTCAGCTGTAGCTTCGACATGGGCGATAGGGCATACCTTGCCCATTCTCTATTATTGAATGTCTTGAGACATAAAGACGTGAGCAGCAGTTTTTGACTAAATACCTTCCACAAACTACCACACTCGCACAGCATCTCTCAAGATGTCGTGACTTTTTGTCTCTCCTCACCATTCTGTCGCAACCAAAACTAGCATTGATGCATGGGACGATCGCCTAAAGCTACATATATTTGAGTGTTTATTAAAACAGTGCAGAATAATCCACTTTGGGACAAATCTCGTTGAGATGCTCCTCTATTTTGCACTCGTGCATTCGAGCAGCACATTGCGGACATCGAAGTACCTGGCTTCTTTTTTCTTAAAAAGGAATGTGCGAATTTGCGCGACTTACAAAACACTTTACAGTTCTCTCCATATCACAGTTCTCAACATGGCAAGAAATACAATGTGTGAAGTGTACGATCTGACGTGGTGCAAGCGGTTGAAGCTCGTCTTCGTCATTTCTCGCATGTGTCACGTGTTGATTTGTAACTAATAGACCTTCTCCTTCCATCGACTCAAAGTAAGTGGTCTGCGCTGCAAGAAGTTTTATGATAGCCGCTTTACGTTAGATGACAGAAAAATTGCAGCAAGTGAACCATATCGAAAAGAGATATGTAGAAACAGAAAAGAAGATCAGAAGCAATCATGGAAATTCGAATCTTACACAGTCATAAGAATAAGCACAGAGGTTTCGTTCTGCAGTCTTGCTATTTTTTGCTTCTTGAGGAGAAACACGGGCATCAATAGGACAGTGAAGTTCCTTGCCGCCCAGCTTGAGAGCGAGTAAAACGGCGATCAATCGTTGGCGCAGAGAATAAACAATAGTTTAAAGCCAGAGGTGCGCTGAAGACATTTTCCACACCGTTGAGACAAGCTTGCATCGCAGCTGCATCGACTTGTCACTTTGATTATAACCTAATGTTGAAAACAACAGCTAGCTTCGAGACATGGGAGGGACCGCTGAGACGCGAATTGCTTAGGCCTAAAAACTCCCACGATCTTGCTCGACGACTGATAAGCAACATGTGACGCGGCTACGTTTCACGCGTATGTATTGCTCTGAAAAACACTGCGAAAATGTAGATTATCTGAGCAACAGCCGTTCATACATGTTTCAAGTCGGTGTTTCCATTCGATTCTGACGTTTTGTGTGGACTGCTGCAAAGCTCATTTTGCATGTCCTATGCGAAGATCAACAAAGACGGAGCCACCTGTCTGCAGCTTTTGTCGAGTGGGTCAAAGGATTGTGAAAAGAATGCTGCGGAATCCTCCTACTCGAAGGTCTAATTCTCTGAACTGCATAGTATATTATGGAGAAACAGGCTCTTTTTTTCTTACTTGTGCGAAGTTATCCCAACCAACACAAAAAGTGACCTGCCATCTTCTGACTACCAGCACTTTTATTTTGTTCTTCTGAATGTAAACTCCACTCAACCGTTCTATTCACTGCAGTGGGAAACTTTTGATACCAATATTGCTCAAGTCACTTCGGTAGGTAGCTGGCAAACATTATTTTTGTCTGCATCAATTTCTTCATTTGGTCCATAGATGTCACTCTCTGGCAAGACGGGGAACGGCCAAGAGACGCGATTTCTCCAGAGGTCACCAAATAAACAACCCGCTTTAGAGATGAGCGATGAGGGTCCATCCTTGAACAGTCTGGACTAAATCTTGAATATCAGAAAAGGCAAGTAAAAAGCGAATTTTAACGTATTGATCAGATTACGGCATTTTGAAGCTAATCAACATATCTGTAGTGATGACTTGGGGTACCTGTATACATGAAATTCCTTCGTGTCAGAGGGTGACGAGTGGAATCTGGGATAACATCTTTCTAGTCATAATAGTTCTGCTTCGAGATTTTGGAACAATTCTCTCACTCCGCTCCTCGTTCCGACAATTACAAATGTGAGACATACAAGCTATCTAATAACGTTCTTGCTCAAGGATAACGCTTAGCAAAAAGTGTTAGCGCATGTCATGTGCTTCATGCTTAGAGCTCCAAACTGGAGAGCCTGCAGATCTCATGACTTGAGAAGTTTTGCGGTGTTTTCTTAAAAGGTATAAACGAGGGATCAGTAATGATAATTTTGATCTAAGTTGCACAAGAAAATTCATATCACAAGAAATGTTTTCCTATGACAGGCGACCTTTACATCACCGCACATTTTTTTAGTTGTTATTTTCATTGTATCCGAGAATATTTACACCTTTAACTTGTTAGTTTTAAACTATGATAAAAGAATTTACCGAGTTCCAGGAAGCGTCTCAAAGTGACGATGCCACAAGCTGCACAGGTCCGCTAATTTCAGGTGCTTACACAAATTTATTAGGCTTTTGTCAGCAAATTGACGCAAGACATTTCCATGACACAACGTTTATAGCTTTTATGTTGTATTGAGCGATAGAATATTCCCGTTGATGAGTAGTGAAAGCCATCTATGATATGGTGAAGAGCATAGTGCATGCATATAGCTACTGCATGGGCACATCGCAGCGGCCACAGTCTTTCTCAACAAAGTTCTCAATTTGAATCGTGCTCTCATGAACATTGTAAACTTTCTGCAGCATCGCTCGCGTCTCTCGTAGAACCGACTGTGCAATTTCGGGCTCGGCCACCTCCAGATGTACGGAAACAGCCAGCTGAAAGCAACGTTCTCAAGGTCCTTGTACTACTTATCTATATACTACTTATAACTGGTGAAGCTGCAGATCATCAGAATTAGCAGCATTTTAACAGATTCTGTAGTAACTATAGTCGTCCTCAACCCACTAGTCGCTCAGTAGACGAATTCGAATTGAGGAGAGAGCGGGCCGTTTGCGTTAGAGCGCGGCACTTGGGCCCTCAATTCAATTTTGCGCACGTTTCCTTATGGTTTCTCGCCGTAGTTGTTTGTTAGCCTTTATGTTACAAGTACGTTCGTTATCAAGATTGGCTATTTTGTTACCGAGCATTGTTTCGTACTTCTGTGCTCGTTACATCAAGTCTAAATACACGTAGGCTTAGAGCAGTGATACAGATGGGGATTTGTAAGTAACATGTAATGTTTCTCTAGTGATATCACAAAACATGCCATCTGCATCGTTTCTAGGAGCCTGAATAGAAAACCACACTAAGCAAAAATTAATCGTAAGTGCGCGAAACAACAATCAACAATGACAAAACGCAGATTTTGAGTGAAAACATAGTGAAGATACATGAATTAGCAAGCAACGTGTAAAAAACGAGACGTAAATTTGAGGTAAAGGTTCAGGTGACGCGCTCTGGGCGACCGGCCTGCTCCAGTTTGAATTCGAAATCGTCTACAACGCGACTAGTGAGGCAGGTGCCAGACTAGCTGCTTGCCTGCTTCTGCAGCAGAACGCGCGCAGAATTAAGCAGGTAGTAATTTGGCGTCAGGTCTGGCGGAAAGCGGCGTCCGCCGCAACAACAAGTTTTTTTAT